CTTGATGTTCCTTTCTAAACAGCGCTGCAAAAATCGGTGAAGGTTCTGGTCGTGCTCCTCTCGCGTTGTACCAAAAACCAAAACGTCGTCTGCTACACAGAACGTTTCTAGTAAATCGTCTAAAGACTACACCAGTCGTTGCTGAAATATCTCGTTAGATACCTTCAGTCCAAACGGTAAACGAAGTCAGCGGAAACGCCAGAAATGTGTCCCAAACGTGGTTAGGTAGCTTGACTCTTCCTCAAGTAATACATGCCAAAACGCAGAAGCAAGGTCAACTTTAGTGAATATTCTAGCTCTGGATAGCACCGGAAGTACGTCGTCTAGCGTCGGTAGCGTATAATGCTACTTCCTGAGTGCGGCGTTAAGTGGTTTTGAATCAATGCACACGCGTAGTTCTCCAAACTACTTAGTAACGATCGCCACCTGGCTAACCCAATCTGTCGGCTCCTCAACTTTGGCTATTACACCAAAACTAGCAAGAGGCTGCAGCTCATCTAAAAATTTCGCACGTAAGGCAATAGGCACCTTTCTGGTCGGCAACAATACCGGCTTAGCGGATTCGATTAAAGATAAATGAGCACACCCTTCGAATCTCCCTACGATCCCGTCAAACATGCTTGGGTAGCTGTCAACAATATCTATGTTATCTGCACACGAATGGACGAAACTTTCATGGTTAAAAGAGACAAAACCGATTCTGAATAGAATCAATACCAAAAATGGGCATAAAGTCTCCTGAGACTATCAGGAAATCGATTTGGTGTTCTGTACCGTTTTTCGGATTGATGGCCTTCAACGTGGCGGTACCTTTCGGCAGCAGCTTTGAACCATTACACATTCTGAGGCAATTCTGCGTTCTGTCACATGTCATTCCCACACAGTGCTTCTCAGGTAGGATGTTGACAGTAGCCCCTGAGTCCAGTTGGAAGCGCACCGGTCGTCCTCCAATCAAAAGCGTCGCGAAAACACACTTGTGTTCTCCACGATTTTCCAAGTAGCTTATCGAAAATTCTTGTAACTGTTTGTTGACGCTCTCGACTACTGGGCTGGCCTTAGCGGATCTGCAACAGCGAGCAAAATTATTCTTCTTGGAACATTTTGTGCACGTTCGACCCCAAGCTGGGCAGCTCTCCTTGCTTCTTGGATGTACACGACCGCAAAACTGAAAACTCGGACCCTGTACTTCGGGTGCCTGGGGCGGACTATTGCTGGTTCGAGATACCGCGCACAGATCTGTGCTTGTTTCGGCTCTCACATGCTCGAACTGCTGCGCCGTCCTTGCTTCACTCAAGCAGACGTCCACACATTGTTCCTAAGACAGGTTCCTTTGGCTCAGAAGGCGCCGAGTGAGCTCATCATTCTTTATGCCAAGGACAATACGAGCACGTATCAAGGAGTCTCGCATGCAATTGCAGAAGTTGCAGTTACACGCTAACAGTTTCAGTTCTGTTGTGTAAGTCTCGAACGATTCGCTTGGGGATCGATCGCGAACAAAAAATAAATACCTCTGATACGTTTCATTTACCTGGCTTTCGCAGGACGCCCCGAATCTTCCCAGCACTTCCGAAAGTTCGACTTCCTCACTTGTCTCACTGAGCTCCAATGTTTCGAGCACCCTCCTGGCTTCATCACCCACAGTGAGCCTAAACATCGCCAACTGGTACGCCATTGGTTGACTATCCAAGAGGGTCAGGGTGACGAAATCCCTCCACATCGCCTTCCACATACTGTAGTTCTTTGGCAGCATGCTTTCAGTCATCTGAAGAGCGGTCGGCAAAGTGATCGATGGCTGTCCAGCAAAACGAGCGGGTTCCGGTGCGTCGGCTTCTTCTCTTCTGTCGCCATGTCGTGTCACCCACCAGGCAGCAAGAGGACTGGGTCGCTAACTTGAAATCGTTTATTAAGATTACGCTAGAATATTTATTGAGTATATACACTATTTACAACAGTCCATTTCAATGACTCATCCCTCTTATTTGCATTGTGTCGCTGGCTCCTTTTCCATTGATTTATGCTTGCTCGCCAAGTTCACTCTGTCTAAAATCACCTTGACTTTCTTACTGGATGTACGATTGGAGGGATTGGGCTCGCGCGCTTCTTCCCTCGGTCCAGTGCCGCAAGCCTTGGCTCAAGGGTGCACGAGTATGCGTTCCTTCGATTGCTGGCGCCTGATTGGTCACTTGCACGTTCAGTGAATGGTTGCAGGCTGACCGCGAGCACGGGCCAACTATTTCCTGATTGGCTGACCAATCTGCTTCCAGTCATATGCTCACTCCCTATCGGTCTGGCCTGTGAGGTCCGATCGGCATTACAGTATTTCCAGCCCCCATCATAGGAAGAGGGTATTTGTCGGGAATTTGGGAAGCGAGCAACAAGCGCGCGCTCATGATCCTAAGCTGACGGTGCAGTATTGGTTAGTCAACTTGGCGAGCGAATCTAACGAGATACTAGTGAATAGAAAATCCATCAATTGTCGTCCACACAAGCCAACCATAATTGCATGGGCTGGATGGGTCATGGGGACTGAGCCGCTCTAACGTATAGGTAGCTCAACGCATCCCGCGAGAGGGTAGGTGTGGGCTGGACCGAGAGAAGCAAACGAACGGCGCATGTGAATCAATGAACTCAGGTGAACGACGAAGCGCGGACAATAAGCAGTAGCCAACAAAAGTAGCGATTGTGGAATATTAATTCAAGCGGATACACCTCGTAAACTGCCATTTTGTGATAGCTTTCCTGACATCATTCTAAAATCTAGGGGAGATATTCAACAAAAACTTGGAGCAGTGTGCACCTGAAGTCCGCGCAAGCCAGAGCTACGTAGAAACAGGGGACATGTGCGATGCATAAAGTCTCAGTGGCCGCGAGGCATTGCTGCGGAATGTGGACACGTGATTGTCAGCGGTGCACACTACGAGCGAATGCTTCGCGGTTTGCAGATACACATGCACAAAGAACGGACAGCGAAGCACAGTAGACAAAATAGATAAAAAATATTGTCTATGTGAAACAATTGAAGTGAACATTGCTACTTCCGGGAGCAGGGACGAAAGAGGAGGGAATAACGAGGGGTGAATGACAATCAGTTGGAGTTCCCCCAGTACGCCACCAAGAGAGGCACATTTGGAAAAAGTTTCTCAGATGCCGGAAACGAATGGCGTACAATACAAGAGAAGTTGAATCTGATAGATTAAGCAAACGCGTACAATGATGAAGATGTCTCGACCTAGCAGAAGAGTACACCGGCATCCAGGTAAACGTTGAAAATCTTCTCAATAGCACTGGCGTACGCTGCTGTCCGGAGATCATAGCCCAAATTGTACCTTTCAGCGATATTCATGATGCGCTTAAATCAGAGAGAGAGAGAAGATAATGGATGTAGGTATTAGCAACAATCTAAGGAATAGTCATAGAACCAAACAAAACCATGGAAATCATTGGAAGATTGGTTTGGTCAATGGTCGATGATATGTTGTGGAGGAAAAATGTTGAAGCATGACATGTACCGCCGGATGATCGATTAGAAGTGAGCAAGATGCAGGCAAAAATAACAAGAGGAAATAGGGAACAACTGCAAATTGCGAAATTGCCGGTTATAGTGTTTCCGTCTGTGCAGTTCACACTTGCTTTTCCGTATTATCCAAGATTATCGGTTATTGTTTCTGGGTGAAAATGGAGGTGCTTCGATGTGTTTTTGTTTTGCTGCTGTATAGATGGGTCCTTTGTGCTACGTGATATCATGGCTTGGTGGTAAAGGAGTCAGCCGTTAATCATCAGGCCCGAGTTCCACTCCTAGCTAGGCTCCCAAAAGAGAAAATCCATTCTTGAGTTCAAGACCACCGTGAATGCCATCCTCTAGTGTGTTGCTTAGAAATGTCTACTTCTGTTGAAACAGTTCAGGTACCACTTGGTTTTCGAATGTGTTCGTTGAGCATCGATTTTATTGGGTGGCATCACGGTGTTCTCAAGGACTGGGTGCGCAGGGTAGCACTAAGTGATGACGATTAGACCAGTTCCCGAGATCAGCAGCGTACGACGGAGTGGATTAAAACGGTGGAAACCCCTTATAAAAAGGAAACTGCTGGAGCGCTCAGGCGGGTACTAAGCAAGTAGAAGATAAGGGTGGTTTTCTAAAGTGCTCAAACAATCCGTTCAGCACTAGTGCGTTTGAGGGATCCACTTCCAAAAGATAGAACGGCCAATTGAGCCCATAAAAGTAATTGCAAGGACGGCGCGCAATTGTACATAGGCCAAACAGCGAGAGAATTGCGCATAAGGATAAGGAAACACAAGAGATAGGTTTCACGTCCACAAAGAAACAAGTCTGAATACAAGGCCTTACTGAAAGATTCGGCGGTAGCGGTACATGCGCCAGCCTCGGGACAAGTAATTGACTGGGACGATGTAGAGCTCATTGAGACAAGTGTAAGAATAACAAGCAGAAGATTAATTGCTGAGGCGCTAGAATTCACCATGGTCACTAACTGCGCAAACAGAATGGACTGCGGGGAGCTATCAAACGCGTTGCGGGCTGTCTTAACCCGGCCAAGCTGAGCAGCTTCGGCGGACGGACCCGGGTTGGGGCGAAAACGTCGAACTATCATCACTAGAGTCAACAACAACAACAACAACGGCAATCTCTCACGGATCAAGTGGAAGGTTTCATGCTCATTTTACCCCCAGATTAAACTTTTGAAACTGCGACCACATTTACCTACTGACCAAGGTTTTCGGTCGTAATCATCATCCTGATTTGTTATAACAAGCCAAGTCAATCATGTAGTAGTTCACCTGGCCTGGAGAAACTCTGGTATCAAGGGCGAAAAGTAGTCTCAAGAAAAGTCTATACAAAAGCGATTTGTATTCTAAAAGCTAGCGCAATTAGAATTTCATGTTGCTTATCGAGAGGAGAGTCATAGATCATGTGGAGAGAAATGAAGCTTCTGACTTCAAGACCAGGTGTCGTTGGTCCTTCTCGCCTTCCAAACCTGGGTCCACGCAACCCGACCTGTAGTTGAGACACTATTAAACATAGCGCTCAACTGTCACCAGGGATGTGTCTCGTGCCGTCATATTGCCAGAGTGAATTCACAGTGCTTAGCTGCCAATGGGATAAGAGGGGTTAGGGTGCAGGATAGTGAAAACCACAAGTAAACATCAGTCCAGTCCATAATGCGTTTTGTTAGCACGACAGTTAGGTGAGAGTGACCATGTGCCTTTGATAAAATGCAAGCGTCTGGGTCTAGATCGCTCCCTTGGGGCGTTTATGTATTGCGTCATATACCCCTCTCGCTTACTCTTGTTTCCAAGCGGTAGGGTCACCTCTCAGGTTATAGGGATATGACTGTAGAGCACCGCCAGGGCGAAGAACTGATGTACGGCTGATTATGAGGACAATGGTGCGGATTGGTGAGCGAACCAACTTTCCCGCTCAAGATGTAAGTGACCGGTTGTTGTTCGTTTGTGTGAAAACACCGCATCAATAAAAACAGTGTCATGGACTAACATTACCAGTAGTATTCTTATCTCCCGTATGGACTATACCCGGGAACAGGGAAGAAGAGATTCAGTTTGCTTCAAAACAAACCTTGGCCTCCAAACGAGTTTGCATGTCACAATCCAGATACACGGCGGACACTCCAAGACCCAACAATGGATTTCCTTTAAATAATTCCAAATAAGAATATCAGAAGACGCACGTTGTGAGATACCGTCACATCTTACCAATCACATACATGCAAGCAATTACAGCTTCAATAAGGACAAAGTCACGTGAGACCCGTGAATCGGATAAGCGCCTCGTCGATAGAAGCATACGGTGTAGCTGATTCAAGATTGTTCGTGCCAAGTAGAGTAGTGCTTAGGTGCTCAGCGAAGACATTAACGTCGAAGCAGTAAACGTCGCACAGCTTATACAAACTCATCTGTACCCGTGGAGGCAGCTAAGTTAGGTGCCTTGGTTGAAAACTGAGGGTCCGAATCAACGAACAAATTGGTTACGCAAACAAATCAAGCATTTGAACCAGAGTAAGTGTGAAGTAGAGCTGCCTCGACAATTATAAGGTGACTACTGGACAATGGTAGTCAGGCCAAACCTGATGCATCAAAGTCCTCATTCACAATCGATCACATTCCTCAGGTTCTTTGAAATCAGTGTTACTAATTTCTAGAGGCCATCAATCCGAACTATGGGTGATAACGCGAAGCGAACTAATCAGCCGCAATTGCCACTAATCGATCGCACGTGACTGTCTTCCCACAAACTGCAATGCATGATAGTCTGGTTGGGAACATTCTCAAAAAACTAGACGGCAGTCGCAGTTATCGGTATCCTTGTATTTGATGCATTCCTGCTGACTATCAGCATTTCTATCCGATGACAACAACCGGTTCTCCAGCCTGTTTTCATCGGGCTTTGGTTCTTAAATTTACCGCGCTTCTTCCTTAACCCTTTTCTACCGTCGTTAATTAGCAGCCGCATATCAACGCGAGGTGAGAAAAGTGAATACACCACACTACGAGATTCAGAGCGCAAAATTGAGCAACGCTAATGAGGACTGCTGTGGGCCATCGTTGATCGCCGCCTCACTTGTTCCAAGTTCTGTTGGTTGTCCAGAATGCTCTTTGAGCTGGCAGTTGCGCTGCATACACGTTTGGTCACCGTTCGAATGGACATCATCAGTGCGTTATTATGGGGTGCAGCGAAGCATCGCGAGGCGAAGATTTAGTGAGTGTGTGTGATCGATCGTTTAGGTAGACGAGCAGTTCGTCTGGATTGTTCGACAGGCACATGACTCGTACTTCGTAGCGTCATGTGTCTGTCGAACAATCCAGTATTTGCTTGCGTTTTAAACTCCATTGACACTAACACACCCCCTTATTTTCGGTTCAAACGGAAACGCGGTTAGTGGATAATAAAGATAATCGCCAGCTGCACGCCGTAGTGGCGCTTCGCTGTCACTTGACCACCAGCAATAGCGTACGGGCTGAGCATACCGCGAGGATACCCACCCCTATGCGGATTCGAACCGGTGACCTTATGATTGAAAGCCAGGCATGCAGACCACTCGGCTACCAGCTGACCGTAGGTGTAGTACCTACGGTTTGGCTACCCCTCGACTGCTCGCAGTAAACGGCTGCACAGCTTCCCGCTGAGTTCAGCACTAATTGCAGACGGTCAAATGGAGGATTTCGCCAAGTTTCTTCCTTTACTCATTATACGAAGTCTCACGGTAGGAACGGAAGCACTCAACCCTAGTATGGTTCAATACCTCAAGTTTTCTGGAGAATAGGTCATCGGCTTTCCCACGCATCGATGGTTTGGCAAGTTGTAGTTCTTTAGCTTTTTGAATCTTCTAGCTATTGGTCCAAAAAACTGAAGTAATCTTGTCCACCATATCCTGCCAAACTATCCTACCCAACCGGGAACAAACGATGCCCTGCAGGATTGAAATAAGACTGAAAGTGATGAACAGATTCACTAAGCGCCCAGAGGCGTATTCATATCTTATCTAATGTGGACGTAAACAAAACAGTCCGATAGATAGAAGAAGAATAGCCTATCAGAACCTCCATCATCCACCCGTGTCACATCAGTTGGTCTGGACAAAGGAAGCACGAGTAGACGTGCGTTTGCAACAACTAGTAGGGAAGTAATCCGTTTACGACGGCGACGACGACGGCGATAGACTCCTTTCCACGCCAATGGACCGATGTCGCCACCGCCGCTGTCTTCCTAATGAAATGCACCCAAACACTGCATCTAGATTCCAGGAAAACGTAGGTAGTATTAAATTGAGTGGACCGTGAGAAGACTGACTACTTTGCAACATCAGGAATTCGCGAGTCCCGCCTTACGTCCCTGGGTCCAAGAAATGACCCGGTCACGTTCCAACACTCAGTGCACGCGATTCTTCAAGAATTTCTCTTCGTATGCTAAACAGCAACTGCTAGACCTCCACTCGTTTGAACCAAGGCATGCTGAATATTTCCATCCTGAATTTTCTAGGAAGAATTGCGTTTCCTGTAACCATCTTAGCAGAACAGTTCGAAGAGTACAAGATGTTTCTATTCGGTCAAAGTGTTGTTAACAAGAAATGGTGTGATTCGTGACCCTCGTTTTCTTTTTATCTCACGGTAGATATGCGGGTGAATCTACCACGCTTCGGTGCTCGGATTACCGTTGAACGACAGAAATGCAGACGCTACCAATCCGCACTCTCTCGGACGATTAGGTATGCGGCAAAGTAGCTGAGGTGATTCCCACCTCTAGCTAACGTGTATAGTGTGTGTGGATGGATGTGACAAACCTGAAAACGAATCACCTTTTGGTATGCAAAAAGAGCACAGTTGACTCCAGTTCAGCTGGCCAATAACAAGCAGTGAACCGAAATGTGATGGATCTGGGCTATCTGGTCCACGTGGCCAACCAAAAATAACAGTAACAATGTTAATGATAAGTATACTTGTACTAACCTGAAGAAGAATTACCGGGAACATACGTTCACTAACACTACCTTTTGAAGAAGTCCATAGTTTATCGCACCGGCTTCCAAATACCTGGATAGGCACTAGACGGCCGTTTCGACCTGTCGGATCTCGCCAGTAGTGCGCATCCATCGGCTCCATCAGGACCCGAACCCAATGAACACCGTCAGCCAGCAGCTTATGCCATTAGGCTATGGGGACAGCGGCGAACAGTCGTGATTTACAGGCCAACTACGATATGGCGCATCTCATCCTCCAATGTCATGCAAGTTACGAATGTAGCGGAGGACTGGGTTGGTCCCGAACACACGGCGTCAATTAGCATTAGATGTGTGTGATATAGTGTTCGAAAATCGTTAATAACACCAATACTAATAATAACGGATGAGCGTCCAACGGAAGTGCCGAGAAGGTAAAATCACCAGATGGGGTTTGTCAAGAAGCAGTAATAAGAGAATCAACGCGAAAGCATCACTGAATTCGTGTCTTCAGCTGTACGACAGAATCATTGGTCCTGTTATGCTGTGAGTTTGTTCATGTGCGCTTTTGCTATGCAATTTATTGCCAGCCACGAGGTTCATAGAAATAAGTGCATCATTGGTAGCCAATACACGATCAAGAAGTCGGCCAGCGAGGATGTGAAGGGCAAGAGGGACAGACAGCCGACATGAGACACAAATAAGCTTACCTTGGCTGAACGCTCCATGGTGTACTCAAGACCAGAATGCACGATATCACGTTCCGAGGCTCCCTAGAATAGAAAAACCGTAGTGTCTAAAATGACGCGTGCAACCACTCGTGCAACCAATGATTCAGATGAGCAATTGCGGGAAAGGTGAAAACAGTAGAAGGTGATTACGTATGAGTGAAAACAAGTGGAACCAAATAGTATCTATGTGGTAAAATGTAAGCAAGCGAACGCTGTCTGTGGTTTCCACATACCCAACGTAGGCAGGCAATACCGAGCAGATGACTCAGAATAGCGAATGAAGTACTTCAAGAAAACATTCAACCACGTGAGTGCATAGTTGGATACCTTGTTTAACCAAAAATTAGAGGTGGGACACCTTGAACGAAACTCGTCTCTCGGAAGGGCTAACCGAAGAAGGACATTCGCTCGCAAGACCGTTGTCAATGCTCTCCCTTTATCTAGTATACTTTTAATGACCTCGACTTCATCAGTGAATGACTCAACTAACTCGTCCTACAGATGACGGATCTCATTTCACCTTGGTTCCTACAACATACGTACTTTTTGTCAGATCGGCCAACAGGCAGCAGTAACTCTTACTATTCACCGGAACGCGCACACACAAGATAGTAGTGGCGTCGTAGCGAATCTCCTACTCCCTGGTTCCAAATGTGTCGACAATGAGTACACTTTTCGTGTCCATTACGACACCGAGTCAACGGCTAGCGGTGGTATCCGGATTGCCCTCAGCTAACCTACTGAAAGTGATCGACTCAAACGGTTACCAGTGAACAACCACGTGTGCGGTCCGGCTTCGTATTGTCACATAAATTAATAATCATCTTCTAAAGGCATACGTGTACAACAGCCGAAACAAGAACAGCAATAGTAGCAGAAAGGAGCGACTCAATTTTTCCCTATAAAAGTGCGCTCGTGTGTACGAAATGACGAGCAGTGTGCAATGAATAACTTAGGGGGTTGGAAATGCATGCTCCCGAATACGGTGCAGAAAAACATACAATCGCTACTTACGGCAATACGTGACTGGAATTCGTCCGAGGGGGCGATTGGAATAGTATCCCCAAACTTCTTTTCCAGTGATTGCCGTACACTGTCTGTTGACGAAGAAGGTGAAATGATGGGTTACTGATGAAGGGAATTGTGTGTGAATGAATTTAATCAGGGTGGGTCCGGCAAGTGGTACGCGCTCCGCCTAACCTGGTGGCTTTGTGAGTTATGTGAAGCCACATTGCCCAATGTGTTTAATGAGGCACAATCTCGGTGTGTACTGTCTACGCTAGTTTCGTTGAAGATTTCAAGGAATCGTCCGACGCAAAGCGAAATGACACAGCAATAAGGAAAAAGGAGAGGTAAACCCCATTCATTACTTCTATGTGCATCGAGTGTAACGGGAAGGCAAAAAAGCACATGCTGTTTGTAAAGTCCAGAGAATTTCGCTGGAAGAGAAAATAGACAATGATTGTGACACTGTACGAGACCATCATTTGAGTATCGACATTTTGAACGATCGAATGAAACAGCTACTCATGCAAGGTACTAGTAACATACAAGTTCAGTTTAACAGGGCCATATACAGACAAAAGGATGGAGTAGCAATGAGTGCACCGCTTGGACTGCTGCTAGCAGATGTGTGTTCATGAGCAAATTAGAGAATATCTATCGGAATGGAGTCATTAGCGGTTTACCCTATTCATTCATTCATTCATATATTATACACGTTAGCTAGAGGTGGGAAACACCTCAGCTACTGTGCCGCAATACATAAAGGAAAAGAAATAAATACAACAGTTCCATGCCAGCTGAGCTACCAGCAACGGATAGGCATCGTTCCGGTAAGCTACCAGTCAGCTACTAGGTAACAAGAAAAATTATTATGTAAAATTATATTACGCTACGAAATCAGATCGTGGTTGGAGGGGGAGGCTAAAAGGGATACGGAGGGACAAAGAAACTCACAGCAGGAACGCCACTGAGGTCGGCTCCTTGCCATGTCAGCAAGTGTATCCAGCTAAACGTTTTTATCGTATTTTGAACCCCAACCAGGGAGCCGTGACGCTCCAACCGAGGCCAGCTCCGAAGTGAGGGCCTTCGTTCTTCTGGACCAAATCATCGCTTGGCTACCTCTCCTCTTCTTCCATCCACATCCCCGGTGAGCAAACAACGCACGTCGTGGAAGTCGGTGGGCTGGCATGCGTAACACGCGGCACAGCCATCGGAGCCTAGTGCATGAAATGACGGTGCTGAGCGGTTCAGTTCCTTTTCCTGTGTCGGCCGGTGGCCGAGTGGTCTACACGTTTGCTTTGCAACCATAAGGTCACCGGTTCGAGTCCGCATAGGGGTGGGCGTCCTCGCGGTATACACAGCCCGCGCGCGACTGGTGGTGGTTGCACGGCAGCAAGCGCCGTTACGGTGCACAACTGACACATTATTATTATTATTTTCCTGTGTCGTAAACAAGGCGTCGAACACGCTCGTTGCTCACGCGGTGTTCCCACCAGATGTGAGCTCAATTGCGAAGGCACCGGTGATCGAACGTAACTAGCCTCTTTATGTCGGCCGATCTTAGGGGCCAGGTTTCGCAACCGTACAGTAGGGTCGAACGTACCGCTGCACTGTACACTCTACCCTTCAGGGCAAAAGTGATGTTGCGCCGGCGCCATAAGTGGCGAAGGTTAGCAAAAGCGCCTCGAGCTTTTGCTATACGGTTCGTGATCTCGTCTTCGATCCCACGGGCGCTGATACAACTTCCCAGGTAGTTGAATTTTTGAACGACATCTACCTGATCCGCACCAAGGGTCAGTGAGGGAGGCGGTCCAGGCCAATCTTGGAGGAAAGCTTTGCACTTCGATGGTGCAAAGCAAAGCCCGAGGCGGCTGACAGCCAGGGCTAATCTGTTCAGCGCGGCTTGGCACGTCTGGGAGCTGTCACAGATGAGGGTAATGTCGCCTGCATACTCCAAGTCAAGAAGTCGTTCTTCTGGTAGTAGCTCCACACCTTCCAACTCAGGTCCTGTAAATGCGATCTCCATGACTTCGTCAATAGCGAAGTTGAAGAGGAAAGGTGACAACGGGCATCCTTGTCTCACACCGCTGGTGATATTGAGGGGTGGCGACTGGTTGCCGTAAGCCGTCACTTTGCCCGTGCTACGCGCATATAATGCTCGGATAATATTTACATATTTCTCGGGCACACCTTCCCTGAGTAAACAATTCCAAAGCGCACATCGAGCAACCGAATCGAAGGCACCTTTGATGTCCAGGAACACGACTACCGTGGGCCGCCAATAGGTGTGACGGTGCTGCAACAACTGACGCAAGGTGGAGATGTGGTCGATGCAGCCACGACCCCGACGTAACCCGGCTTGGTTGTCACGAACCTGGCTTTTACGAGCGCCAGTCAGTCTGTGAAGAATTATGGAGGCGAGTGATTTGGAGGCGATGGAGATCAGACTTATTCTTCTATGGTTGCCGCGTTCCGAACGCGGACCATATGTGGATGATAGATTTTGCGTGACAGATAGTCACTGTCACCCAGGGAAAATGTTATCCCATTTTAATTCGGCGCACGCTAATGCTAATCTGAACGCAATGGCACGATGTCCTTCCTAAGCATCCAGACAAGCAGAAGATCAGATGGATCGGTCCAACGGAGGGTGCATAGAAAAGCAACGTGGAATGGGCACTATGTATGTATGTATTTTGTCAACTTTATCCCAATAAATCAGAAACGCAACTTGATTAGATGTCTAATCGAAAGCGCCAGAAGGATTTGTAGTGAGGACACGCTTGCAGACGAGCTGAGTCTCTTAAGTGACATTTTCGAGAGAAATGGCTATCCGGTAAAGTTTGTTCGGAAAAAATATGGAGTGCCGAGAAGTAAGAGCTAAACCAGCTTCGGTCGAAAAGAAACCAGTTTATTTATCTTTGTCGTTCAAGGGGATGGAATAGCGCAGGCAACGTCTAGAAGGACATCCGACGCTATGAACCTTACCTACTACGCAGCAAGCTTACGACTAAGCTTTAATTCGACACCAATCGTGAGGCATCAACTCAAAGACTTCGGTCGAGTGCTTCTTTCCATATATATTCCTTCCCTTGTTCATGTCGAGCAAGATACATCGGAACAACCACCAGGAGGCTGTCTGAGAGAATACGTGATCATCGCCCACCGTGTCTATGCAATGGTGGGAGCAAAGTTATGATCGGCGCCGTGTTGGCTCATTTGGTTGATTCTAAGAACTTTGATTATTCAGCTAAACCTATCTGAGGACATGAGATCCCTATACCCAAGCCCCTCATCTATTTCCTTACAGAAGTTTACATATGTTTGCATCAGGCACTTGCAATATTTAGGTCTTCATTTCGTGCCACTGGCATATCCTTGACTACTCCAGGTCAAATGTTTCGACCCTGACAGAGTACCGACTATAAAACTGTTAGGCTATATCATTTCCTCAAGCCGCTGCACACTTCCCGGTTTCCGCCCGTTATTATTACAATTTCAAACCTATGCGTAAGTCGATTAATTTGTATTATATAACCACGGTAACAGGAAGTTACGTTTTATTTCCTCTGCCTAGACCGTGCGTATAGTATAGGTTACTAGCCTACAGTTTTCTTATCCAGTCTCGTGCGATCACTAAGTCCAAGCTTCGTATGGTCGCTACACTGCTGTTGGCACGAGGCTACTGCGTAAGCCAGTTTCTTTGAAGAAGGAATCGCATGCGATGATAGTGAATTCAACTTAGTTCATGTGTTTAAGTGTGGATCGTAAGCTCAAGTGCTGTTCAGTCAGTCGTGACCAGATTGACCTTGATAGGGAGAACAATTAAAAAATGGGGCACTACGAATCAGAAGTAAGCAAAAGACACCAGTCGAACGTCTCCAACGAGACAGCGAGGCTCAAGAGTTGCATTAATTTTGTAGCTGTGTCACAACCGATAATGTTACTGAACACTGTACAACAACACGAAACGCATCAACCTGAGAAGCAATGCTGAGGTCACTGCTTTTCACACTTCTTAGCCAGAGCATGTCAGTGCAATACTGGATAGGACACCGAGAGATTCGGTCGGCATGTGCACGGGAAACAGAACCTGGACAGTAAGGCCGTCAAAATGTGGTAACTTGGCTCTAAACAACGGAGGTGATATTGTCAAAAGTCGACTGGCCAACTGGAGTAGGACTTTGACCAGATAGGCGTCGCATGTGTCAATGGTGATAAGTCGCAGTGCGCAGTCATGCCCTCAGGATTTATATGGCAATATCGGCGTACCGCATTGTCACACATAATGCTGGTGGCATCCGGTTCCGGATTTGCCTGTCACTGCGGACATCATAGGACAGCCACAGGACGCCTGCGCCTACAGAGGGACCGTGGGTTGCTTGCGCTGCACCAACCACAGCTCCGACCACACACTCCATATGCAGTGTAAACCCGGAGGAATAAGGCCGGAAGGCATGTGGATAAGAGCCACGGTTCATCTAGGGAGACGGCCCATACTCCTTCACATGCAAACAAGCACGCTGTATTGGGGGAATCAATCGCAAAAAAGGTGGTGGCTGGACCGTAGCCCGCTCCACAATGAGTGCATGGAACCACTCATTGAGCCTAGCATGGCCACGAGGACTCTGTACTCCGTCTCCCCCGCAATGGATAGCGTTCCTTGGAGCCATTGATCGAGATGAAGTGTGTTAGACAGGAAAGCACCTTGGCAACATTCACATTAAGGCAGCCACACCGGGATATCACATAACCAACACAGAATTCCAAGGGGAATAAATACGCAAAACAGACATTGAATATGTAGCAGAATTAGAGAATTGCGCAAATGAAATAAAGTGTGATACTTTTTATCCAGATCAGATCAAGTTTAAGTGTAAGTCAGCGTAACCCAACTGCGATGAAGGAGCATCCTGAATGCAACATCAGCATCAGCATGAGGCATAGTGCCACACACACACACTACACACACATATACACTGTTCACAACCGACACTCTGACATTGTACCGCCTCTGCAAATGGCTGAAAACCTTGAAATGTCACATCGACTTTACAAAGGGGTGCAGTGGTCTTTCCACTCATGTGATCCC